ATCTCGGCCCCAAAAGCCGTCGAGTCTTGTAACAGCTTCTCGTGCTGCCAAGCCACCAGACATGCATCCAGATCACAGATACGGATTCAGCTTTTTCGTCATGATCATTGTATTGTTTTCTTTTCCTCGGTTTCGGTCCGCGCGGGCTCGTGCTAAGTGCGAACCACCAACCAGCTACGACAACCCCACAAATTTCCAAACAAGCTGCAAGTCCAACAGACCACCAACGAGCGATTTACCGGACCCAGGTACCTCCCTAGTCTTGCCCAATCCGCAACATTCCCTCGAGGAAGACAAGTAAAAGAGGTGGAAGATAAAGACGAGAAAAGAAAAGAAAAGAAAAACACCTCAAGCGGCTCATCCCATCAGTCCACAGACACATACGGACAGAGACCCAAAGGCCACCCGTAACAAGCTCCTCCCCCGGTTCCTGTGACATGCGGTCCACTCAGATCGCCGTGACCCTTGCTCCATCGAGACCGTCACAGATGCATCACCTCCAACCCTCGTTACTCCCACTCCGCTGACCCATGACGCGACACCGAACTTTTCCCACCCTGTCTAAATGTCCACTGTGCAGCTGTCCAATGTCGTTGAAAATCATCTTTTGAGGCTTTTAGCTCCGTCTTGTCGTCTTTCCCTTGCTTCTTCAGTCAAACATCCCTGGGGCTGTACAGTCTTGGAAAACGGCATCCACCTCGTTTCGTATCTCTTGTCTCGCGTGCTTGACAGGCTTGATTGTTCCTATCTTTTATGTCGTTTGCCCTTATCATCGCCACGGCACCAACCACGTCGTCTCCTGCTGTCCGGTAAAGTCCTGGGAATTACTTCTTAGACTGCTGGCTTATTGGCACCTGATTTTTCTTTTTCCACGACTACTCTTCTCTTCTGCGACGAGGTATATATCTTGAACTGGCCTGCTTGGGAGTTTGACAGCCTCGAAAACGCCCTTACCGAGGCTCACTCCCCTCTGCAGAACCCCGTCTCAATCACGGTGCCGTCACCATGTCGTCGAGTGACATCGCCGACTTTCTCCCTTCGTATGCCTCATACAACTGGACCGGCGCGCCAGCCGACTACTCTCTGGCTACGAATGAGAGAACAGGAGGAGACTCAAGTACGTTGTCTTGATCGCGTTCGGATGGCGGATTCTCTGACCATGGTGCAGGAACGGAGAATCTGAACAAATGGTATCAGTCGGGCGACCAGGCATATATCATCATCTCATCATGTCTGGTGTTGATCATGGTGCCGGGCCTCGGCTTTCTCTATTCGGGCCTGGCACGACGAAAGTCGGCCTTGTCCTTGATGTGGGCTTGCATGGCCGCAGGCAGTGTCATCAACTTCCAGTGGTACTTTTGGGGCTATTCACTTACCTTCTCCCCTACCGGCACAAGCGGCTTTATTGGAGATCTGGTTCACTTTGGCCTGAAACGAACTCTGGGGGCCCCCAGCCCCGGGTCGCCTCTGGTCCCTAGCCTCCTATATTCCTTCTACCAGGTGAGCGACCTTGATCCTTTTCTGGCAACACGACTCTGATGGGTGACTCACAGATGCAATTCTGCTGCGTGACCGCTGCTATCGTTGCAGGCGCCGTGGCCGAACGTGGCCGATTAATGCCTTTCCTCGTTTGGACCTTTCTGTGGGCAACCCTCGTGTACAACCCGATCGCGTGCTGGGTGTGGAATGTCAACGGCTGGGCATTCAATTACGGCGTTATGGATTATGCTGGTGGTGGGCCCGTTGAGATCGGCTCTGGCATGTCTGCCTTGGCCTATTCCATGGTTCTGGGAAAGAGACAGGAGAAGATGATGCTCAACTTCCGCCCCCACAACGTTTCCTTTATCCTCCTCGGAACCGTCCTGCTATGGTTTGGCTGGCTAGGCTTCAACGGTGGTTCCTCCTTTGGAGCCAACCTCAGGGCTGTCATTGCTTGCTGGAATTCTAATTTGACAGCCACTTTTGCCGCGGCCGCCTGGGTTCTGCTCGATTTCAGGCTCGCTCGGAAATGGTCGATGGTCGGTTGGTGTTCCGGAACCATCTCTGGGCTTGTGGCGGCCACGCCCGCGTCCGGATACCTTGACACATGGGGCAGTGTAGTATTGGGCATTGTTACTGGCATTGGCTGCAATTTTGCCACCAAGAGTGAGCCATATCCAGGACCCTTCTGCTTGGGGCTTCTGTGGTGCTGACTGTTATTTCTAGTCAAGTATTGGATCCGGATCGACGACTCCATGGACGTGTTCGCTGAGCACGGTGTCGCTGGCATGATTGGTCTGATGTTCAACGCTCTTTTTGGCGTCGACTACGTTGTGGGTCTCGACGGTGTCAATACAGGCGGCACCAATCCAACAACAGGCACTGCCATCGGCGGGTGGCCGATTGGGAACTATCGCCAATTCTATATCCAACTCGCCTATGTCCTGGCATGTACGGGCTATGCCTTCGTCATGAGCGCCATCCTGGCTTACATTGTCAACTTTATCCCGGGTCTGCATTTGCGTGCTTCAGAGGAGGCCGAGCTGCTCGGCATGGACGATGACCAACTGGGCGAGTTTGCCTATGACTACGTTGAGGTATGTCCTGTTCCTTTTTCCAACGCACCCGATTTTCTAGCCTTTTCAAATTCTCACGTCAATTGATACTAACCAACGTTCCTTGCTTGACAGGTCCGCCGCGACTATCTCGCCTGGACGCCGCAAAACCCGGACCAAAACGGTATCGACCCCAACATCCCCAGGGAAGATCGCTATGGCATCGGAGAACACTCGGACATGATCCGGAAGGCCGGCGCCTTGACCACCCCAGGCGAGTCGACCGAGGCCAGTACGCGCAGCAACCAGGAACTTCCCGCGCAGGGAGACCGGCACGCCATCAAAGCCGAAGATGCAGAGAAGGCCAGGCATGAACCAGAGGCGTAGGCTTCTCGTATCTAGTCATATCTCTCTTCGTTGTCGCGTATGCGGGCCTGTGGTTGCGGGCTGTCTTGCTGCGCTCCTCGGTGATCTGTCAAGTTATGCGTTCGCACGTCTCCACAGGTTTTAATCTGTTTCTTCCCTTTGAGATGGCTTGGCTGGACTAGGCCGCGTTTATTGGAAGTGAACAAACACGCAAAGACCGGGAGACCACCACATCCATACATGCAAGCACAGGATGCAACCAGATGTCCTGTTCTTTCAAAGGTTCGCAAGTGCAAACGAACGTGAGAGCGAAAGCGAAGAGAAAAGTTCCAAACCTTTAACCCCCTTTTTCTTTTTATGATGTGCCGCAGCGAGAATATCCCACGTTGGCTGTGATCGATATGTCTATGTCTAGATACAAGAATATATTACTTTTTCGAGCATACAATGGATCATCCGTGAGGCAACCCCCTTTTGTCACGGAAGAAAAGATTGAAAACAGTCTATTTTCTATGAATTGCAACGTCTCGAGGGAAGTTAATTGCATTACAGTGAGGTTCCTTTCACTCATGGTTGCCGTGTCTCGGGCGAGAGGAATTCCACCTAAAAGCACAAGGCACCTCCATCCACCCGCAGATCTGCGCCGGTGATGTATCTCCCTGCTCTCCTGCTACTGAGGAGGACGACGGGCCCCGTGATTTCCTCCACATCGCCCATTCGGCCCATGGGGCAGCGGCTGGCCCAGATGTCCCGCACGGGTTTCAGGCTGTCGCCGGCGTTGAGCACCGTGTCCATGTACCCGGGAGAGATGCAGTTGACGCGGATGCCGTGGACTGCCCACTCGGCAGCGAGGTTCCGCGTCAGGTGCGCGACGCCGGCTTTGCTGACGTTGTAGGCTGCCTGGGGTTGGGGGAAGTTTGTCGCGTAGGCCGAGATGGAGGCCGTGAAGACGATGGCGCCGCCGGACTGGGAAGCGATCATGCGTCGCGCCGCGGCTTGGGCGCAGAGGAACGACCCCGTCAGGTTGACGTCGACGACCTTGCGGAATTGGCTGGCCGTCGCGGAGACGGAGTGCACGCACCCGACGATGCCCGCGAAGCAGCATAGCACGTCGACACTGCCGAGCATCTCCTCTGCGGCCTGGAATGCGCGGTCCACCTCCGCCTCCGACGTCACGTCGACGGGGATGGTGTGGACTTTTGCGTTGGGGAAATCCTCCTTCAGTCGCGCTATCGCCTCCGAGGACGTCTGAATCGTCACGGGCAGGTCCATGAGGGCGACCCCACCGGCGCCGTGCTCAAGCAGTGCCCGCGCAGAGACCAGGGCCAATGTCCCCGCTCCGCCCGTCAGGACAGCGTTGCCCTCCACTTTGAATCTCGCGGCGGCACGTTCTGAAGCAGATGTCGCCTGTACTGGGGCCAAGGGCGCTGTGAGAGGATTTTCAGCCACCGAGAGACTCATGGTCGGGATGATTCGCGAGGTGAGGGCCGCCCGCTCGTCTTGGTCTGCCATTGGTGCTGCCGGTACTGAGTTGGGTTCGCCCATTTTGGCGGTCTTGAGTGCGAAGCGAGTCTCTTGCACACTAGATCTCGGCGTAAAGTCGACTGCGTGATTGTCAAATTGTTTGTGGAGTTCATCCACCTGTCTGTGTGGTGAGGTTATGTGTTGGCGGTGAGTCGCTAGAAGCAGGCACTGGTTTAGAACAGGAAAGCAAAGAAATAAAAGGGCAGTCAGATAATAATTGACAGATTTCTATTCATCACTAGGCTCACCGATCGACCGTGCCTCTCGACATTGATGTGACTTGACTTGTACCCGTTGACGCGTTTCACTCTCTGTTTGTGTCAACGGTATGTAGTGTTACTTCGCACTCGGTGTGTAGTGACATCTTTTGACATATTATTCTCGGCGAGAGATTGCCCGATCCGCCGACCACCAGGAATATTTTTTTCTCTGAATTATTGTGCCACAGACACGCAGATCAATTTTCGAGTGACTGGCAGATTGGCTGGCATTTTCTACAGGTGTGACACCTCACACAAGAACCACTCCTTGTCGCATCCTGCTTCTCCCTCGTCCTATTTCGCCGAACAAGACGCAATGTCGCAACCCAGCCCACTTCCGGGCCCCGCGCCCACTGCGACAGCGTCTTCAACTCAATCTCTCTCCTCCCAGATCGACCTGCTGGTGGCCCTCCACCTCTGGTCCTGGCCGGCCTTGACCCTCGCGATCCAAAACTCCTGGGGCGGCTCCCCCGAGGTCTCCAAGGACAAGCGGGACTGGTTCGCCGGCGCCGTGTCGGAACTGCTCACGTCGACGCCCCCGCAACTGGCCGACGTCGGCGACCTGGAAGAGGTGCTGATCCAAGTCATGCTGGACGAGTTCGAGGTCGTGGTCGACGACGGCAGCGCCGAAGAGACGGCCGCCAAGATCTGGAGCGGCGCCACGAAATTGGGCGCGGGGGACGTCTCGGAATTGATCGACCTCTACGCAAAGTGGCAGGAGAAGCAGAAAGACGGAGGTGGTGACAAGGTCGTCGGTATCGTCAGGGGGGAGGACAAGGACGCGGAAGAGACGGATTGGGATGACGACGACGATGATGACGAGGAAGAGTGGAATGGGTTCCCTGATCGAGCAGACGTGCAGATGGACGATGCCCCGCCGTCACTCATTGACATTGACTGGAAACCGAAGCAGAAGCCCGAGCCTGAGGTGGACGAAGACGGGTTTACAAAGGTTGTGGGCAAGAAGAAAAGATGATTCTGTGCTCGAGAGATTGGTCACAACACTTATTTTGGCCATCTATCTGGCATACAAGTCCCAGCATTCGAAAGAATCAAGACACACTGTCGACCGACCCATCCCTCTGGACCGTGGCGTCACACTCACAAATTACTACCGCGACATCTCAGTGACCCTCTGGATCGACCAGCCCCAACTCCTCATTCTCCTTCTTACTCCTCTGACTCCACTCGGGCGGTTCGTCGATCCCCTCTTCCTCCTCGCGGTCGCCCTGTGCCTTGTCCTTGTGCACGGTGGTCGGCTTGTGCTCGGCCGGCGAGTACACAGTATACAAGATCAACGGTGTCGGACCGGTGTTGATGAACTGGTGCTGCGTACCCGCCGGCACAATGATGAGATCTCCAGCCTTGACGTCTTGATCCACGCCGTTGATGGTGGCCTTTCCTTTGCCGGATGTGAATGTTAAGATCTGATCGACGGTGTGTTTCTACAGAGATAAAAATAAGCCACGATATTAATAGCGACCGCCACACAAAAGCATTCGACACATCAACCCCATCCGCCAGAAGAATCGCCGGAGAACCCTGGGACCAGGAGACCAGGAGAGACTCACCTCGTCTCCGATCTCTCCGTCCACCGGTACCGTCATGAGGACCAACTGACTGTACAACCCCGTCCACAGAACCCGTCGAAAGTCGCCCGACTCGCTGGGTAACGAGGTCGTCATGTCCGGGAAATAGGCCATTTCGTGTTTCGGCGGATCCATCGATGGGGTGGTGAACTTCATCCCGGCGGGTTTTGACGATCTCGTTCTCGTTCCCACGTCTGCAGCGTTGATCCGGGTAAAGAGTGAACGTGCGACGGCGTGGTAATCCCGTGATCCGAGATGGCTGGACTTAGAGTGTAGACAGCGACAGCAGCAAGATCTCCCGAATCTGAAGGAAACTTGCGATGCGAGAGACATGGAGCAATAACGACAAAAGAAAAAAAAAAAAGGAAGAGACGAGAACGTTTCGGGAAAGGGCAGGGACAAAAATGGATGACACCTCGAGGGGATCCGAGTTGAATGAGATGATGATGATATGGTGTGACTGAATGTATCTGGATTTACTCTTCCACCACTTGGGCTGAGAGAACTCGCGATTACGTAACGAAACGACCGTAAACACATGACCAAATAGTTACTCACGGAACACATTTCCCTAGACACATATGGCCCCCTACATTGGGTAGCACGTACCAAGCTTTCCGTGAGCAGAGAAACGAAAAAGGCAAGGGAAAGGGAAGGTCTCGTATACCGGAAGCGGAAGCGGATGAGTGGTCCACACCCCGTAGCTAGACTCGTGATGTCATGAAGACGAAAAAGTTCCATCAGACTTGACTTGTATGTATCGTGTATCATGTATCATATATGGTCTATACTTGGAGCCAATAACCGCTGCAAGTTTAGACTTGTATGTACCGAGAGAGTACATGTCGATGTCGTCCGTCTACCTGTTACTTGTGCCCGTCTGCCTACCTAGTAGGTAGTGGGTAGGTAGTCGTTGGAACATCACGTGTGTGGTATCTGTCTATGTGCTCTATGCTCTACCTTCTACCTTCTACCTTCTATGTTCTACTGGACTGGCGTCTTCGTGTCTATAACATTGCTCCTGAGCCTCCCTCTGCCCCTTCTATTCGAGCACGCCAGATCCGTTTATCGAAGGAATAAGATACCTTTGACATAATCGACAGAACGCAGTCCACCGACATCAATCACGACGCCCTCTTCATCTCAATCCCCTTAGTGCCGTCCATGACCCTCTTAATCTTCTCCTCGTCCACCTCTCTCCCAGGTTTGCCCATGTACCAGGTGATGTCGCTGCCGTCCCTCTCGCAGACGTGAAAGCCGTTGCCGAAGAAGCCAAACATGTTGTCTTGGTCGTCATACTCGATCTCGTAGTCCTCGAAGCGCGGCTTCTCGAGCAGGCGCAGGAAATGAAGCCGCGAGCCCGGGTAGACGGCGGGTTTTCCGTCGACTTTGCCGCCCTTGAACCAGCTTGAGCATGGTCCTATTCGAGAAGTAAGCGCATGTCCGTTTCTACTCATGCCATATTGTACTGCCATCCGCCACGGGATCACGGGGGGAAAGGGCGGACAAAAGAACTCACCGGTCCATGCAGTCCTCTTCAAGAAGGAATCTGCATGTCTCAAGAATTGGTCCACCACCTTCGCCTTGGGTCGCAGACTCCGAATGTTCTCCACCTGCATCTTCTCGATCACTTGGACGGTGTAGTTACAGTACCCTTCGATCAAGGGGAAGAAACTGCCGTGTGCCGACGGACAGTAAGCGCCGCCGTAGACGAAATAATTGGGCACCTCGGCCAGGCCGAGACTCAAGTACGAAGGGACGTGAGGGTGATCTTTCCATTCTTCATTTTTCGAAACACCGTTAACACTCAGAGGGAAACGGGGTTTGTACGAGGTGTCAAAGCCTGTGGCGCAGATGATCACGTCAACTTCCCTCTCTTGGCCGTCTGGATCGATGAAGCCCTTTTCCGTGATCTTTTGCAGCTGCGATGCAAACGCCGTGGTTTTTTCGCCCGTCAAGGCTTCCAGGTATCCGTTTCCAGGAGTCGGGCGACGGCACCCGACGAAGAACTCGGTCGGCATGATCTTCTCCAGTAGATCCGGCCGGTCTTTGAGCAGCGTCCTCATTTCGTTCTCGGAGTATTCTCGGGCTGCCTTTTGTGCCTCTGAACCATTGATGATGAAGCCGAACCGTTGATTGAGCTCACCTTCGATCATTTTGCAGTAGGCCAGATACTCGTCAGGATCATCAAACAGCTTCCGTTGTTCCTCGTTGTAAATGAAATTGGCACCATCTTTGCCTGCGAATGCTTGAGCGAAACCGGCTGTGATCCAGATCTTGTTCCGAATCCAAGTGTATACCTTGTCGACTTTGTCATAGATATTCGGCAGGATCTGAACAGCGCTGCTTCCCGCCCCGACCAGTGCGACCCGTTTACCCTTGAGATCCGTGTTCTGATCCCATTGGGCTGAATGAAGGAGGGTACCCTTGAAATCGTGCAGACCAGGGATGTCCGGCCACTTCCATTTGTTCAAAACTCCACCCCCGTCGATGACTATATCTGCATGATCCTCGAATTCCCGTCCCGTGGTGAGGTCCTGCACACGGACAGTCCATTGGGCGGTGCCCTCGTCCCAAGAAAGAGCGACAATTCGGTGCCGCAACTTGACATACTTCTCAATGAAATTGTTCTCCTGCTCGACCTTTTTGATGTAGTCCCAAATTTCGGGCGAGTATGAGTAGTACCGGGACCATGACGTGGGTCTCCAGGGAAACTGATACACCACACTGGGTATATCACAGGCACAGCCTGGATAACGGTTCTCATACCAGGTGCCGCCAACGTCAGCGTTCTTTTCGTAGCATATGATTTCGACATTCTTCAGTCTCTCTTCCGCGGTTTTGAAAAAGTTCAAACCAGACATGCCAGCGCCGAGGACGGCGATACGCATCTTCTTCCGAGAACCGTACAATTGCTCCAGGATTTCAACATCGTCCGGTGATGGGTTGTTCAACAATGGGCGCGTTTGTTCCCTGAGAGCAAGTCCAGCTCTATCAGCGTCGTCGGGGAGATACATACCCCCATAGCCGTTGGTGGTGGCCGATGGCGCCATGTTCGTGATTGAAAGAGGTGACTAGACAAATTGGCAACATATCCACGACCAGGGAACTCCATAGATGCCCGTATTTATATAGACATCCACACGTCCACACTTCCACACACGAGACATGATTCATTCGGTTCCGAGAATCGGTCCACCTGCTTTGACGAAAATCCTACATCCGGTGGACAAGTAGAAGGACGATGAGTGCGGAGATGTTTAGTACTATTGGCCGCTATTCTCCGCATATTTGGAGAGCCGAGGCTGCGCTTTTAGTTGTTGTGATAAGACTCGGTGGGAAAGACGACAGTGTATCATAGCTGAGCCATGAGGCTGGGGTTCACGATGACAGCTGGAACTATCAGGCTGAGCCACAGCGTACGCGGTATTGGTTGGAACTACGTCTCGTCATATGAGACAGCATAAGGAGGAACGAGCGCATGAGCAACTTCGCTACGCAGTGGCACGAGTGGGTTAGAGGTGATAGTGTGTGTGGTGGCAAAAGCCAAAAAGGAGGCTCAGCCTCGGCCAAGACGAAGTGACACGGAATATTCGTTTTTCCGGATCCGGTGGCCCTCGTGCTCACAACGGGATTCCAGCGAGCGAGGCGAGCGAGATTTGAATGGGTGGCACTGCATGGCCGTTCCCAGCCTTCCTGCGCCCGCCCCACGCATGTAAGTATCGTGGTACCTTAGAAGCCTAGCCTTCCACTCCCTCCGCCCTCTCCGCTTATCACAAATCTGGCTGGTCGATCTTCTCGAATCCTCGAAAACAACAAGCCAACCACTGTTACGTATGGGCCAGCCTTGACTGCGCCTCACTTGACAACAAATTCTTTGCCCTGCGCATCATATTGCCATCCCAGGTACCACCCGGATACTGCGACTACAAAGACTCGTCTTATCCTCACAAGGCTTTCCAATCACTTTTCCTCTCTCAATTTACATTACTACCTCGAGAACAACTTATCTGGCTCGACACCATGGCAGACATACAACGACAGCCTCTCTCCCCTCTGCAAACACAGATCCCTTCCTCAAACTCTCCTCCCGCTTCAACCGCCTCCTCGCCTCGCCCATCTCTATCCGCCAAACGTTCCCGATCACCTCTCTCAATCGATCTCTCCTCTCTACCGCCTCTTTCTCAACCAGCACCTCCCTCCAACACTCTCCTGATCACTCGCCTTGATGATCCCAAGATCTTCCACCCAGCGTCCCTGGCGACAATCAGACAACACATCTCAGACATCGCGCCCTTAAACTCCTTCTCACCACTCAAGTCCATGCACCGCATCATCTGCTCCTTCTACGACGTCGATGCCGCCATTGCCGTTAGACAGGTTATCG